CCGGGTTTGAAAGTGAGGTCTTGAAATCACATATTTTCTCCAATGTCTGTTTTCCAAGATTTTAGTAATAATCGGATGTATTTTGGTGCCCCCTCACTTGACGAGTGTACACTGGTGAATGTTAGTTTTCTTAGTGTACATGTCTCTTTGCTCACTGCAAGTGTCCATCTGTGTCTGGACACATTTATAACTTTGTACTTTATTTGATAAAAGTATGGCTGCCTCTGCCTTCTTTTGGGGGCCATTTTTTGTTTCCTGGAGGAGTAAGGGGGTTCTGTTTTCTAATCTAGCCTGCATTGGTGAATTTGGTCCATTAACATTTTGGGTGTTTATTCACGCATAAAAATCTATTAGTGACATTTTGTGCACTGCCTGGTAGTTGAGTCAAACTTCTCGATCAAGAACAGACCTACCACCAAACACTGCTCCCAGCAATGGCGAAACCACGCTCATTTCAGCACCCGAAATGCGGTCACCCCTTGTCTGCTGGCCTCCATCACGCCTCCTGCCTTCACGCCTGGAGTGGAGGAGCCCACAGAATCGAGAGCGCCTACTGTGGACATCCTCACCGAGCAGAGGTTCACGTGGTGAACAGATGCTGCAGCAGATAGACAGCAAGCCCGTGAAGAGGGCCACCGCACCGCCACCTGCCATCCGCGCCCCGCCAGCAGGTCAGGACTGACCGCGAATGTCTAAAACTGGGTGTCACTTAACCCTCACAACAAAGCTTCACGCGCTCTCAGCCCCACCCCACGAGAACATGCTTTCGATGTGCAGTCACAGTGCCCTGGGCACGGCACTGAATTCTCTGCGCCTCCATCTGCTCACCCTGTGAGTCAGGAGGCGCCGCCTCCTCAGAGTCTGTGCGGAGGGGCGCACAGGTGGAGAGGGCCACCTGGCCCGAGCGGCCGCAACAGTATGGTTGCGTTCTCCGGGGCGGCGAGCCCTTTGCTGGCAGCAGGGAATTTTTATCACACGCACAGCGTCACGGGCCTTGGGTCTGCAGGTTGCGGTCCCGGGCCAGTCACCGTCACGGGCCTTGGGTCTGCAGGTTGCGGTCCCGGGCCAGACACCGTCA